GTAAGTGGCGCTGTAGCTCAAGTGGTAGAGTACTAGGCTTGAACTGAAGAGCTGAGGGTCAGTGCTCAGGCGGAGTTCAAGTCCCATGACCAACAAAAACACAAACAAACAATTATGGGCTATTACTAGATACATAAATGTTTATAATATTCATCTTTTTGTATTAAACATTCAACAAAGCAGTTTATAAATGCAATGAATTTTGATCAGTCTCCCCTTTTACTATTCCTCCCCAACCCTCCCCACTCTACTCCCTCAGTTTTCTGAATTTTATAGGATATTCATTGAATTTTAATGCCCTTCTTTGTTTCATATAAGCTTTTCTTAAATGTGAAATTTATTACTTTTGCTCACTATTTGCAAAGGTGACTTTTTCCATTCTTTTTAAAAATTTTTAAATAGATTTTTATTGTATAGATACTGTACAGAGGGGTTACAGTTACATGAACAAGGTAATGAGTCCATTTCCTATGGAGCATTGTTACACCCTCCTTTATTTTTCCCCTACCATCCCTTTCTCCCAACCTCCTAAACTTCTTCCTCCCCTCTCTTCCCCTCTGTACCCAAAGTTGTAAAATTTGTTTTCAACATACTGCTGTGTACATCTCACTGTTACAATGGGTCACCCTGGATCCTTAGTTCAGAATTTTGTTATTTCTCTTCCCCTCCCCAGATTAAGAAAATGTATATACAAGATGCAGGGCACCAACATCAAATACGGTGACAACAGAGGTTGTACTATGGGGGAAGAGCATACCAAAAAAACACAAAAATCACATAGTACATTATAAGTACATTAAAAAGAACAGCAACAAAGGTAAAACCTCTTGTGTCCCTATCTTGGGTTCATTTTGCTTAGCATCAGGTTATATGGTCATATGTACATAGCTTTTGACCTCTTCTGCTTATCCTAGAGATATACTAGTTATTGTAGATAAGGGAAATCATGGGACCTATGTTTCTTTGAGTCTGGCTTACTTCACTTAATATATTTTTTTCCAAGTCTTTCCATTTCCTAACAAATGGGGCGGTGTCATTCTTTCTGATGGAGGCATAGAATTCCACACACACACACACACACACACACACACACACACACGCACGCACGCACGCACGCACGCACGCACACACACACACACACATCACATTTTCTTGATCCATTCATCTACTGAGGGGTATCTGGGTTGGTTCCATATCTTAGCTATAGTAAATAAGGCTGTAATAAACATAGTTGTGCTGGTAGCTTTAGTATAGCCTTGTTTGTGATAATTTGGGTAAATGCCTACAGATTGGGAGATCTTCACTAGCCATACAACGGACAAGGGTCTCATAGCTAAAATATACTTAGAACTCAAAAATTAAATCCCCTAACAATAAATCCTCAAAGAAACAACCACCCGATTAATAAGTGGACTTAAAGAGAGACTTCTCTGAAGAAGAAATAAGAATGGCCAATAGAAACATGAAGAAATGCTCAATCTCTCTAGCCATAAAAGAAATGCAAATCAAAACAAGATTGAGATTCTACCTCACCCCAGTTAGAATGGCTATAATCTAGAACTCTAATAACAACAGATGCTGGAGGGGATGTGGACAGAAGGGAACCCTACTGCATTGTTGGTGGGAGTGTAAACTTGTTCAGCCACTTTGGAAAGCAGTATGGAAGTTCCTCAAAGACTCCACACAGAGCTCCTCCCTGACTTTTTCATTCTTTAATCTCCTGTCTTTGTGCCCATGGATCTAAATTGAGTCTCTCAAGGTCAGACTGTATCAAACTGGATTGTTTTTTGTCAGTCCTGGAGTTTTGAACTCAGGGTTTCGCTCTTGCTAAGTACATGCTCTGGCACTTAAACCATGTCTCCAACTCTTATACAATAGATATTTTTGAGACAGGATATTGATTTTTGCCCAGGCCTGAGTGGACCATGCTTCTTCTGTTTTATGTTTCTTGACTTAGTTGAGCTGACAAGCATGAACTACTATGCCCAGCTTTTTTTCTATTAAGATGGAGTCTCAAAAAAACAACTTCTTCCTCCTCCTCCTCCTCTCCTCTCCCCCTCCTCCCCCTCCCCCCTCCCCCCTCCCCCCTCCTCATCCCCCTCCCCCTCCCCCTACTCCTCCTTCTCCTCCTCCTCCTCTTCCTCTTCCTTTGACTGGACTAAAACCATAACCCTCCTGGTATCAACCACAGGTGACAGGTATGCACCATTATGCCCAGCTGTTAGTTGAAGTGGAATCTCACAGACTTTTGGCCCAGACTAGCCTTGACCCACAATCATCCTGACCCCTGCCTCATGAGAAGCTAGGATTAAAGGTGTAAGTTATTGGTGCATGGCCTGGATCATGTTTTTATTTATTCTGTTTGATTAAAAAATTATTAATAAGGGAGTTATTGCTTTTGCCATTTTGATATTCATAGGCCTTCCTTACAGTGCATTTTCTGAATTACTGTGCTCTTTTGTGTTTTTCTGAAGTTTTATAGTCAAGTGTTTTAAATCCTTATTTCTTTTGTTATATTCTTTAGTCATATGCATATTCCAACCCTCTGCATATGCATCAGAGAACATATTTAATAACCCTTCTTCAATGTTTGCTATTTGCCATTTGCTATTTGCTGAGAATACAGAGATATATAACTAAGGCTATTTGTCTCAGAAGGGTTCAGAGAAATTAGAGGCAGGAAATGCAACAGAAACTGTAACAGACAGTGAGTTAGGTGGCAGTTGGGTAGAAGTCCATTCTTAGAAGCAAAAACAGCTTAAGCAGATGCCAGAAGGGTAAGGATATTCATTAGATAGAACCAAAGTGGCAAATATTGGAAGGAGGCAGAAATTGGGAGGAAAACACACAACAAGGTCAACTAAAATAAATTCTTTGTTTAGACTAAACACAAACAAATGCTATTACCTAGCCAAAATAACTTGCTCTGCGGGAAAATTAAAGCTCATAGCTGTTTTCTAAAACCTTATTAATGCCTCATCACGAGTAGTTTTGAATCAAATGATTAGGTGTTTGGAGGCTTTTGAAATATATACATATAAAGACAGCTATCTTAAAAAATGTTCAATATCTGTATTCTCTTTCCATGGGCTTCTGGATATAGTTAAGAAATATATATGATATATTCTGGCCAGGAGACTGAAGATAATCTCTTTATTCAACATGAATCTGCAAACTGTAAAGTAGCAAGCTAGACTAATGAGCATGCTGAAAGAATCCTCCTAATCAGATATCAGTTTGGCTAAACTGGATCCATAAAGGTCAAAAATTCAATTAAAATTAGACACAGCTGACCCAATTGTCTTTGCAAAAGGGCAAGTTCATAATAGGTCATAGAAATTAAAAATTGGTAAATAAATCATTTTGAGCTAGTTTAATAATGGGAAGGGTCACATTTAGATGCAGTGGGTACCATAAAGCAGATAAGCATGTTTTTCAGAGCCAAACAGAGGAACATCCATTGTGGATGTGGTAAGAGATGAGCTGTCTTTCTGTGGGCATCAGTTGAGTAGTTCAGCTGACAAATGATTTTAACATTTGCTAGTGGAAGTACGAGCTACACCACAGCCTTTCCTTCACAAATATCCCTGTCATTTTGTATCTCCTTACCAATGAGGGCCCACAGCTACCTTGATGATCCTGCTTCCATTAATATCTCTACCAAATGGGCTTTGCACTTCAGCTATTTGGATTCAGCCTATGCCACTGGCTTTCCCCTAATGCATAGACTATAAAGCTCAGGATATTTAATGTGCTGGGTGTTTGGGGTGGGGGACTATTTTCTGATTTTTATTTCTGCTCTAAATCAATTTGTGAAACTCATTGTCTGTACCTCATTTGTCTTAATTTCTTTTCTTCTTCTTCCTCTTTTTTTTTTTTTTAAAAAAGATCAAACACTAGAGATTTAGATAAAATGTTTTCAACTTTGATTATTTAAGACATAAGACAGTAGGTATTTTGATGTAACAAATAACTTTTGAGGAGTATAGATATATTTTTCTATCAAATAAGTATGGCCCCAATCTGGCTCATTACCTATTTCTCTCAATAAAGTTTTATTCTAACACAGTCATGCCTGTCAGTCTAGCTATTGCTGTTGGCTGTTTTAGTACTCCAAGACCAGAGAAAATTATTTGCAATGAACAAAGAGCCTGCAAAACATGAAAATGTTTGCTCTTGGTTGTGTTACATAATGTTTTCTGATCTCTACATTGGAACATTCAGAGTCCATGCTCTTTATAAGGCTGTTCTCAAGTAAAGTATCTGCCTCATAAAGACATAAGTATCATGTTATCTAGGCAGGGTACCTTTCTATAATTTTATCACATTCACCACAAATTGTATTTAAATATTGTTTGCTTACCTGTGACTATAGCTCTTATTATACAATATATTTCTGGTGAATAATACCTGTTCCTAGTAAAAATGTTACCTGATCCAATAGATAAACATGTTCTATTTTCTAGTTCCACTTAAAAATACGTTCCCTTTTGTTTGGAATATTTTGATGTTCTTATCAAAATATTTGACAGCATTATTAATTTAATCTAGCCTTGACAATTTTTAAAGGTAGCTCCGTCTTTCTGAAGACTCATTGTGTTTTGATCTAGTGCATGGGTGGAATCAGACCACCTGTCTGTCAATGATTATTTGAGTTGGTGTGACCTCATTTCAAAAGAAAACAGGTCCAGAGAACCAGATACCTTACTGAATAGTAATATTTAAATTAGAGTAACTAATAGACAAAATGAAAACTATGAAGAACACTATTTGCTTAGAGATGATTTTCTTATGAAAAAGCGCTGGAATATGCGTTGTTTAAGACAGTAAGACAAGCTGGGCGTGGTGGCTCATGTCTGCAATCTTGCTACACAGGAAGTGGAGATTGAAAGGATACAGTTCAAATTCAACCCAAGCAAAAAGTCTATGAGATCCTCCCATCTAAACCAATAAAAATATCAGCACAGTGGTGTGTGCCTGTTATGCCAAGAAATACAAAACAGCATGTTTTCAAGGGCTGTGGCTGATGGGATCTCCAACTGCAGGTTAGAACAGCTTGGAGAGACTTTGACTTTGACTGTCTGTAGTTGCCATTCACCCTTCCTATAATATATTCATACTTGGGGTGGGGAGACTGAACCTAAGTTCAGGTGTGACCCAGCAGCTTTCACGTCGGTGGGTCTGATGGATCAGTCTACATTTTGTTTTCATATTTACCTTTTGTTCTGCAGGTTTCCCCCTGTGTTTTCTTATAGTGTCTGGTATTGAAAACTCCAAGGGAACTGTTCTGTATTTCATGCTGGATAGGCTTAGGAAAAATTTTGCTACTTAAAAGAGCTTGACCCTTTCTCCTTTCCCGTAGGATCTGAATGCTGGTCTTGGTGATTGAAAGGAGGGAAAATGCTACTGAGGCTAGCTCTTGGCTTGTTTCAAACAAGATTGAAAGCACAGAAGAAAAAAGAAACACAATAGGAGCATGGTCTTGATGGGTTGAGAGGTGGGTAGGAAATGAGATGCTATTTGAAAAATAAAGCTAAAAGGGCTGGAGTGTGGCTTAAGTCGAAGACTACCTGCTTGGGAAGCACAAGGTCCTGGGTTCAAGTCCTGAAAGAACATACTTATTATTAAGGTATATTCCATAATTTAGTATATCCTTAGTAATTAAACGTATTAACAGTACTTTGTAGCACATCTTTAACAGCATTAATAAAAACTGAAGAAATAAACTTCACAATTGTGATAATAACAATTCCATTGTTAGAATCAAGAAACGTTCTGTGAGTATGTATCCTTAATTACAAAACTAGTTGTTTTGATGTGTTTGTGTATAAAGGTAATTAATTAAAGAGCAAGTTTTGGAATCCTATTTAAAAGAGCCACACCGTATGATGTTTTGAGTAGACTTGTCTGGAAGGAATACTGAGCAAGGAATGAAGAAAGGACCACAATCAGGGACTCACTGTTAAACCAACAGGAAAACCCATTAGAAAAGCACCGAGTCAGAGCCCAGGAAAGGCCTGGTGTAATTTATTAGTAGAATGCAGGGTTTTTTTTCCAAGATTTTGGACATGGAGAGATCTCGTTTATAGGTAGAGATAGAAAAAGGTTTCAAACGTTGGTAATGAAAATTGCTAATTTTGTAATGACTTAAATAATAAATTCTTGTTTGAGAAAATACCCAGAACTATAGAGTTGTGATAATCTTCAATCCCTGGATCCATGACTTCTCAAACCACAAAGCAATGTGACACACTGATGTATGTGTTTTCCTGTAAACAAAAATAAAAAGGCCTGAAGCCATCCACTCTGGTTCTTATATAGAACATAAATCATTGTTAGTAATACATAAAAATTAGTCAGAAAGCCATCCCAATAATACAGTTATCCTGGAGGCAATTACCTGGATTAATTTTTATATAAAATTATAACTTTGTTATTCTACATTCATGGTAGCCACCAGGAGAAATGATAGCATTATGGGTAAATGGATTTTTAATTATCAGGGTATAATTTCAGAAGAAGTCAAATGAGTTCCTCTTTTCTAGCTAACTGGAATGCAAAAAATTCGGATTAAATGATAAATCAAATTATCACCAACTAGGACTTCAGAGCACCTTTTAAAAGTTTATTACCAATCTCTTTTCCATTGACTTCAGTTTGGACTGTCCCATCATCATTCTAGGTAAGTTGTCAGAACACAACTTCATAGAGAAAAAAAAAGTTTAGTCATGTCTAATTTAAATTTTTTTTCTAGTGGTAGATTCATTTCAACTTTGTCCCAACAACATTTCTTAAGGCCGTGCTAGAAATACAAAAGAAAAATTATTCCATCACTTTAGTTGAATGAGATTTTAATACTTTAAGGCATTCATTGCATATGTTTTCAAATTGATAACAATTTTTACTATGTACATATAACCATATAAGATGATGTTAAGTGAAATGAACCCCAAGATAGAGACCCAACTTGTTTTTTTCTTTCTTGCTATTGTTTTTAACATATCTAAAATGTACTATGTAATTATTTTTGTTTCTTTTGTATGTTCTTCCCACATGGTATAACCCCTGTTTTCACTGTATTTGATGTCGGTGCCCTGCATCTTGTACACACATTTTTCTAATTTGGGGAGGGGAAGGGAAATAACAAAATGCTGAAACAAAGATACAAGTTGACCCATTGTAAGAATGACATGCACAAGACACTATGTTGAAAATGAACTTTACAAATTGGGGGTGGAGAGAGGTCGGGAGGGAAGGGATAGTAGGGGCAAAACAAAGGAGGAGGTAACAATGCTTGATAGGAAATGTGCTCATTACCTTGCTCATCTAACTGTAACCCCTCTGTATACTATTTTTACAATAAAAAACATAAAGAAGAAAAAATGATATCAATTTTATGTGTATATACATACATAATATCAATTAGGCATTGAGAGAAAGATAAATATTATAGGAAGATGGAGCTGTTTTATTGTCTGGTTTCTATCATTTACTAGCTTATTTGACCTCAGGCATACAATTAACATCTAGTTCTCAGTGTGCATGTGTGTATGTGTGTGTGAACACATGTGAATATGTAATATATCCATATTGTAGATTATTATAATCGTATGCTATTACATTGCAAAACACATAGTAATGTACCTAGGAAAAATAAGCATTTATTCAAGTACAGTCATGATTAAATAAGTATTATTTACTTCAAATGTAGTATTCACATGTTTCAGGAAAACATTTACATCTCACTGAGAGTCATGTCATAATATGGAGAAGATTTCTAGCAAGGAGTTTTATCTTCACATGTAAATGAAATTCACTTAGTTTATACTCAGTTTCGGTAAATGAAAGCACACCCAATATGTATTTACTTTTCTTTATTATGTATCTAAGCCTTTGACACTGACCTCTGTCTTATGAATGCAAACTTACTGAGTTTAGATAGCATAATTAAAGCATAGCTTACTTTAAACAAATGGATTTGAGTGATATCTTGAAAATGAAATGAAGGGAAGATTTGTTTCGCTGTTTGCCTCTTGTATTTGCAGAAATCTATGATAGAACTTTAGAATTCGAAGATATCTTGCCACTATTCAGATGATAAGACCAATGACCAAAGGTGATTCTAAGGATACATAGCTTGCTTTTGGAAGGAACAGATCTCTTGAGTTCTAATCAACTCTCTTAGGCCTGGCTCCTCTTAACTTCAGGACAATTTATAAGAGAAGTGACATTTGACTTGGATTTTAAACTTTTCCAAATGTTTAAAATACGGTTCTGTTTTAAAAAATTGATTTATTACATACTGACAGTCTTAGGAAAACATTGACACTGGTGATGAGGAGATAGGTGAAGCAGGATGAGCCTACTTCCTCTCTCCAAGGCCTTTGATGACTAATGAGACCAAGAAGACAAGTTCAGGTAATTCTTGAGCTCTTGTGATGCCACAGGGAGGAGGGATAGGATGTGTCAGCCGTGGGCAAGAGAGATGTTTCTTGGGGGAAAATAGAGAAGATTTCTCACATAGTTGTAGGACAACACAACTGAGACAACACAAATCTTTATTAAAATGCTCATTTCTTATTATTACATCTGAATCTGTTACTCAGTGATGTCTTATGAAAGATAAGGGGTTGGCTCTATGGTGCAATATTAACCTTTCCCATGCACAAGGCAACAGTAGCAGTTACCCAAAGAAATGTGAACAGTGGAGACTAGTGATAGTTTCTACTGATTACTTACCCTGAATATCTATTATGCAATTTACACACTGTTTAATCATCCTGGTGGTCTTCTTGTTAGAATACAATTATTACTGACAACCCAGCCAAGGATTTTTTAATAGATATTTTATTTATTGTAAAGATACTATACAGAGGGTTACAGTTACATGACTGAGGTAATGAGTACACTTCCTCTTGAACATTGTTACCCCCTCCATTGTTTTCCCTCTACCATCCCCTCCCTCCCTACCTTCCCCGAGGTTCTTTTTTTTTTTTTGATTGTGATTAAGTGATTACATGATTTCCGGAATTTCACAGTATTGTGGAATAATGATGCTCATTTAAAGTCACAAGTTCATTCTAACTTTCCTGGAGCAAATTGTCTATCACAGTCTGTAACATATAACGGTGTTCACATGTTATATACCATATTTGTGATCAGCAGCATGGGGATATTTAGTAGTGGTTCAACCAGATGAGTGGGAGTTCTTTGTTTCTTAAGTCCTGTTAGTTTTGTCATATCACCTAACATTTTGGATTTAGCATCCACTTATCAGGGAGACCATGTACCATTTGTCTCTTTGCTCTTGGCTTACCTCGCTCAACATGATTCCTTCCAGCTCCATCCATTTCCCTGCAAGTGCCATTATTTTGTCATTTCTAATGGCTGCATAATATTCCATTGTGAATAGATACCACAATTTTTGGATCCATTCATCTGTGGTGGGGCATCTGGGTTGTTTCCATATCCTGGCTATTGTGAACAGTGCTGCAATAAACATGGAGGTGCATGTGTCCTTGTATGCTGGTTCCTGTTGTTCAGGGTAGATGCCTAGAAGTGGTATGACTGGGTCGTAAGGGAGGTCAATCTTTAGCTTTCTAAGGACCCTCCAGACTGCTTTCCAAAGTGGTTGTATAAGTGTACATTCCCACCTGCAGTGTAATAGGGTTCCTCTTTCTCCACATCCCCTCCAGCATTTGTCGTTGGCTGATTTGTGGATGTGGGACATTCTGACTGGGGTGAGGTGGTATCTCAGGGTTGTCTTTATTTGCATTTCCTTCACCACCAGGGATGATGAACATTTCCTCATGTGTTTCTTTGCCATTTTTATTTCTTCATTTGAGAAGTCCCTCTTTAGTTCCCTTGCCCATTTAGTAATTGGTTTGTTAGGTTTGGGAGGTTTCTTGAGTTCCCTGTATATACAGGATGTTAACCCCTTGTCTGATATATTGCTGGTAAATATTTTTTCCCAATTAGTTGGTTGTCTTTCTAGCTTGGTTGCGATAGATTTAGCTGTGCAGAAGCTTTTTATTTTAAGGTAGTCCCATTTGTCGAGTCTCTCTCCAACTTGTTGTGACCCTGGGACTCTGTTCAGGAAGTTCCTTCCTGT